GGGGGGGGGGGGCAGTCAGGTTCACGGGAAAGTGGGAGGAATGGCCCTTATCCCAAAACCACACAACTCAGTCACTGACACTCTGAATCTGCCCAGGCCTCTACACCCTGGCCCAGGCACCTGACTCATCAGCAGGGTGCAAGCTCCGAAGGGTGGTGCAAAAGAAAGTCCAGAGGGTGGAGCTATTGCATTCCCCCAGGTGGATGATGTATGGCGGGGAGTGAACTACCAAGAAAGATGGAGTAGGCAGCGTGGGAGAGTGACTCAGCACAGGGATCCTGATAGCTATCCCTTCAGCTCTCTCCCCAGAGCCACAAATCCCAGTCCCTTCTCATGCAACTCTAGTCCATTCCGCCCTCCCTCTGCCTGAGCCCAGGGTAAATGGCTACAAACGAGATTTTGTGAGTTGGCTGTTTAAAACAGCCCCTGTATCTCCCTGACAGGCAGAATCCCTGCTGATTTTCATAGCCAGATGTTATGCGGGCGCCTCTTCCCAGCTCTGGTGCTCTGGGCTGAGAGCCGGGCTTGGGGTTGAGGCGCCACTCTTCTCAGGGGCAATCTTTGCAGCTGACATATCCCTCCAGAATCTCAGCTCCCGCTTGCGGTGGGAGGTGGGCCTGCCCTTCTCATGTCTCTCCCCTTCCTACCAGTCTTGATGTGGCTTCTGTAAATCCTTGATTATAAGACTTCTCTTTAGTTAGTCTTTAATTGGTTATTCAGGTTGATTGCGCTATATTTTAGTTGTAATTGCAGTTTGGTCCTGGGAGGAGGTGAGTGTAGCTTCCACCTACTCCACCGTCACCTTGAAAGTCCTCAAACTCTAAGGTATTTGAAAGCAAAGACTTTTATTTTGCCTCAAAAAGAGGCCATATGGCTAAACCGTTAAGATCCCAGGCTTAGCAGCTGTGATTTCTTGGCCATAAACTTCAGTGCCCTCATCTGAAAATGACAATAGCATCAACATCATAAATTTGTAGTGGCATCGTAAGAGAACGCATGTAAAGTTGTCTGGCTCTTAATTACTTGGTAATTGTTAACTATTGTTTGTAGTCCCTACGTCCCCTAAACAAAAGCCTTCTATTTTGTAGGCTTTCAATTTTTACTTGTTGGTAGAGCTTATGCTAATACATTCATACCTAGTAATGCATTAGCATTATGTATGTCTGGAGGACTGATTAACTCTGACCTAGCAGCACTTAGAAAGGCTTGGATTACCTACATAGGGCCAGTTCTCCGTCATTATCCAGATCAGCGCTGTCCAATACAACTTTGTAATAGTTGCAGTGTGCTATAATCTGGGATGTCCAAGAAAGTAGTCACTAGCTACATGCGGTTATTGAGGACTTCAAATGTGGCTAGTTCATCTGAGAAGCTGACTTTTTATTTAATTAGTTCAATACCCTCTGATGATTAGCACTACCCTATTGGACACAGCACCTCTGGAACTTGCCTCCTCCTGCCAGCTTCTTTAGATTGTGTCCCCTTTTGTACCAGTAAAGGAATATTTCCTAAATAAGGAACCCTCACTGATTCAAAGCCTCACAACTTCAACTGCTCCCAACCCCTTTTATTCATTAGCGGTTGCACGTATCTTCATTGCGTCGCTTCACCCAGAGCTGGCATGAAAATAGTATCCATTTAAAACTCACTATCTCCGGCAATCGCACAGGACATAGTGACTTACACAGGAAATGACAAAAATACTGATTGCGTCCGCGTCTGGTGGAGCTCAGTCTGGGGGGGTAGGGAACGCCAACCAGCCGCCTAGACAGAAACGTGGCAGAAACGTGACCGGCGCGCAGGGCACGCCTCCACCCGGCCGAGGGGCGAGGAAGCCGGCCACGTGTCCGCCCACGCTCGGCCCCGCCACCGCGGGCTCGCGTGCCAGTCAGCGTGGCCTGTCCTTGTCGCCAGCCCTAACGGTGTCCGGGCGCACAAAACGAGAGCCCACCTCCACCGGCTCACGCAGTGGAAACATGCCTCCCGCCCTGGCTGCTAGAAGCTTCGGCAAACCCCGCCTCGAAACCGTGCCCCAGCCGCTCGAGTCTCAAGGTCCCCCCCCCCTTCAAAATGGCGACGGGGCCTGGGAAGCAACCATAGAGACCGGCGGAGAGAGCGCCGACTCTTCGGAACGTACGCGCGCCCTGAGAGGCTTGCGGGGCTCGCGTTCCGGCGGAGGCGGGAACAAGGGTGAGCCTCTAGGGGCCCCTCTAGGAGAAGAGCAAGCAGCCTCCATGGTGCCGGGTCATCCAGCCGGTCACGTGGCTGGCGGAAGCCGCTGCGGAGGCGGAGGGAGGAGAAAGGGGCGGGAGGCGGAGGGGATTGCTGGAGACCGGGCGATGACTGGGTTGTCATGGAGCTGCGGGGACGGGCTGGCGCATGCGCCACCTGACCCGCAGGCTGATCTTGGAGTGGCGACCCCGGCCCCAGGTGAGAGAGGGAGGGCAGGGCGCCCGGGGTGAGGGTTTGGGCGAGGAGCGTGGACAGAGGAGGTGGGGGTAGGGGAAAGAAGAAGGGGCGCGAGGTAGGCAAGAGGGAGATCCGGGACTTTGGGGGGACAGAGGGCCAAATGGTGGGAGCGGAGGGTGTGCGTCCCTCCTCCATTTAGTTGGTTTTGCTGTGAGGGGTGAGAGTGCGTGGGAGGGGGAGTCACGGGTGAGAAGGGGGCTGTGTACCGAGAGGGGGCTTGTGTGAGGTGCCGGCGGGGTGAGACCATTCGGGCAGGTGGGCCGCGGTGTAGCCCTGGAAGTAACAGCCTGCTGGGCTTCTGGGCAGGGGGAGAGCCTGGAGGCCTCCTGCCAGGCTGTGAACTGCGGGGCAGGGAATGGGCACGTGAGTGGGCACGGGAGCTGGTAACCTGGTAAGGGTACTGCGACTCCAGTTTGGAGTTGTGGGTAGCGCCCCTTTCTGGGTCTGGGGCACAGGTGTGCTGTCTTTTCTAGAGACCTGCTGTCACTAACTTGGCTGGTTATTTCTCCTGGGTGGCTAGGTGGCCAGGCATGGTGCCAGGGGTGGGGGAGGTGGAGAAGAAGTGCCAGGTAAGGAGTTAGTGGGTGGGTTGAGGGGAGCTCTGATCAAGGCCCAGGGTACAGGCCGAAGTCAGTCTCCCCATTATTGCCCAAATCCTGGCAGTATGCATTGCCTGGGTGTTTGCCCTGGGAGGCTGGTGGTATGCCAGGCACAGCACAGTCCTAGGGTCTGCCCAGTTCTTCCCTGCTAAGCTGGCAGGCTCAGATACCTGGAGGATACTCCTGCTGTCTGGCACAGATGCAGCGTTGGCTGGTGCAAATGGGGAAGTGGGCACTGTTACTGTGCACCCTTGGGAAGCAGGGGATTTGAAGGAAGTTCTCTAATCATCTTCTCTCTGGAAGAGGAGAATGGAATGAGCCATACCAGGTGCCAAACAGAGGACATTGTATGGGAGTGGGGTTTAGGACCTTTGACATGAGTTTTTGCAGCCAAGTTGAAGAATGAAAATGGATGTGAAGAGAAAGATGGAAATTAAAGATTTAGGTAGATCTGGGGCATGTGAGTGTGTGTGTAGGAGGGGTGGTGTTCTCTGTTAAAATACACAGACATTTCCCCAGAATAGTATCTCCAAATATGCAGACCAAGAGAAAATGACTTCAGAGAAAATCTAGTAAAGTATTTATAATTCTAACTAGGATTACTCATGGTTTTCTGGGCAGTAAGATCTTAATTTTTTATGGCCTTGTCCCTTTATTGTGTTTAAGTGTCTGCTTGGGCTTTCTCCTCACAACTCTGTCCAGGCACGGGTGTTACACATGTGACACATTTTAAAGGGAACTTAAGCTCTCAGGAAAGTTGCCAAGTATCTATAAAAGGAGAAATCTGAGAGCAACATTTCAGATCCTTTCCTTGTAAACCTTGGGTCTCCTTTTTATCATAAGCCTAAATCATCATAGAGATTGTGTTTGGGTTAGACCAACCTTTAATTTGGTTGATGGATTTATCCGTGAGTTTTCGTCTTAGAATAAGGGGTAGATGAGAGATCTTCCCTCAGGAGACCAGAGCTGGGTGTTAGATCTTGAGGTGACCATGGTGTTTGGAAATGCAGAACCTTGACCTTCAAGCTGTTCAGGTATTTCAGTGACAGCTAAGCTGCTAGGGCTGTCAGTGAGGCTCAGCAAGACAGGAGATTTGTAGGAATTTATTATTCTGTTGAGTACCTCACACATATTGTTGGGAGCTGAGGTTGCAAAGATAAAAAAAATAACTGTTGAAGTTGAGGAGACAAATAATTAGACTCTAATGTTAGAAGTGCAGAAATAGAAGAGCCAAGCGAGCACTAGTTAGAATTTTATCTTATACCCGTTTATGTAAGCCTCTATGTTTATGTTCACTTTCCATGATAAGTTTTAGTACATACTGTTCTCTCTGGGAACCTTTGGACACACTGTTGAGAGGCCCAATTAGGGTTGATTCTGACAGTTGGGGAGCTTAAGTTGGAGTCCTTTTAATGCAGTCAGGCACATGAGGATCTGAGATATTTGTAAGGTAGTGTTAATGGTTTCCAATCTACGCCAGGAAGCAGACAGTGGGTAAGAGCTTGGTAACCCATTTTCAACCCCTAGTCAGCTTATCAGCATCTATCTATATTGTAAAATAATACCAAGGAGGAAAACCTTGAGGTTTTCAGACTTTGCCATTTGTGTGGCCCTGGGTTTGAGAGCCCCAGTAATGCCATCCCCCTGCTTCTGTCCTGTGGACAGCCCCATCTGGTGCTGTGTATGAGTGGGCCTATGTTTACTGGCTAATTGATGTCCTCAGTACCACTTCTGGGGAGGAAGTGCCTCTCTTCTCAGGACAGCGAGGTCAAGGTGGGTTGTAGACCTTCATTCTCCATCTTTTTTGAACTTCCCTGGGCATTAAGGCTTTCTGCTGCATAATGAGAACTTAGGACAGAGGCTTTCACATTTTTAGTCACTTTCATATCCAAAGTAGTTAATTTACTATTCTAAAGTAGACTATGTGGTTTTTTACTTCCAACTGCTGCCAGTTCCCCAGGATCTAAAATTTTAGCGTCTGTTCTCCTTTTAACCATTTCATCAATGTTTTAGTATTTTGATTCCACGATCAATATAAGCCTGCATATTCTTGATGGGCCAGAATAAATTCCTGTGTATCTTTTGTAGCTCCATTGAGTACACTTTAATAAAGCAGCAAGACCTTTCTCCCCTGGTCACAAGGATTGTAGAAGACTAAATTGGGATGTTTTATCTAAAATACCTGTAAAATAATCCGTATTTTGTAAGATAATGTTAAACTTTGTCAAATTCTTAACCAGTTGCAACTAACATGAGCTACTCTCCTAATCTAAATCAACAGGAGGGTCAGTCAGACTTGAATGATAAGTTTAATTGCCCATCCACAAGCTACATCTACTTACATTTTGAAGAAACTTACCCACTTTCAGACAGTATTATTTCAGGGAAATGAAAACATGCACATTTGTTGATTTTCATACAGAAGGATTCTGATTTAATTAGAGATACACGTTTACATTTTAGTCTATTTTTTAAGCTGCACTGTCTATGCTTTCGAACTTCCTGGCCTTCCAGTAGAGAGGTGTTACTTTTGCAAAGTGCTGTACAAGATGTGACAGTGCCATTGTTTATCTTCTGTGCACATAGGACTAAACCTCTGACCTGTCAAAGAGTGCTTAGTTTGACATAGGGAAACCAGTTCCCTTAAATGAGTTTGATATGGTACAAAATAATTTTTACTTGGAATTGTGTTTAGGATTTAGTCTCACTCAGATCAGTGTGTGTTCCCTTTAGTCCACTTGTACTGTATGCAAAAGTGTGAGCAAGAGGGTTGCTCAAGGACACCCGTAAGCATCCTTGTCTTCTATTTAATTTTATTTCTAATCCTTCCTCTGCTTCTGGAATAGTTGATGTTCTTCACAAGATCGTGATTAGCAGAAATGTTCAGACTTGGCATTTCGGGGTGTTCCAGATATAGTGCTGTTTGGCAGAGGGCTCGTGTTTCTCTGCACTCAGGATAAGTGTATGGAGCTGCGAGGGGATTGTGAATTAAAATGCCACCAGGCTTTGCTTACACCTACTGTCTTAGTCTATTTGGGCTGCTATAACAAAATATCACAGACTGGGTGGCTTATAAACAACAGGAATTTATTTCTAGTGATTCTAGAGGCTGGAAGTCTGAGATCAGGGTACCGCGTGGCCTGTGAGGGCTCTCTTTCAGGTCACAGACTTCTCATTGTATCCTCGTGCGGTAGAGGGGCTAGGGAGATCTATCAAGTCTCTTATATGGCACTAATCCTGCTTATGACGGCTCCACCCTCATGATTTAAGCACCTCCCAAAGGGCCCACCTCCTCATACCATTATCTTGGGGGGGTTAGGATTCAACATATGGATTTGAGAGGAACACAAACATTGAAACCAGCACTTACCCAGTTTTTTTATCATTGTCATTTTCCTTGCTGGCCTCCTGTTGTCTTTGGCCCTGTTGTATCCCTTGTGTTCTTATCTTGCTGCCATTCCTTAATGCGTCAGATGGCCTTGTTAAAATATTCTGGAATGTTTTCCGCCTCTGCCACCCCTTCGAAGGGCCCATTTGTCTATGTCTTTGCACTGTTAGCTTAGTTATGGATTTGCTATGGACTAGCTGTGTGTCACTGGGGCAAGTCTAGGCTTCTTCCTGTGCTCCCAGCAGGTACATGTGACAGCCTACCGAGCACCTCCACTTGCATGACCCGCAGTTGCTTCTCTCTACATGGCCTAAAGAACCAGCCTAGCCAACCCACCATAGGCCTTCTGTGTTCTTCTTGGCTCCACCATCTATCCCCCAATATACAATCACAGAGCCCCATCAAGTTGGCCTCCTAAATATGTCTCTAGTCTGTTCACTTCTCTCCAGGTTCACTGCCACCACCTTAAGTCACCTGGACTACATAGTAGTTTAGAAGTATCTAGGTGATCTCAATGCCACTCTCGCCTCCCCCTACTTTAGCCTCAGACCAGCACCCAAATGCTTTTAATATGCAGGTCCAATCTTGTCACTCTTCTGGTTAAAATCCTTCTGTGACTTCCTATCGCTCTTAGGTTAATACCCAAAGCCTTTGCAACATGGGTTACAAGGCATTGCTCCTGTGGCCCACACCAGCCCTTCTAGTATCACATGGCTTCTACCCCCTGCACTGTGCTCTCGCCTCCCTGGCCTTTCAGCTCTTGGAATGTGTCAGGCTCCTTTCTCCCTTAGAGCCTTCACACTTCCACACCCCACCTGACCCCCTTCTCCCAGCCAACTTCCAAACTTCTGCTAAAACCCATTAACTCTATCTCACCGTCCAGGTCCCAACTTCCTCGGGAAAGCCTTCCCTTCCCTGTCCCCCCAGACTGTTAGTCCCTCCCTTTCATAGCTGTTATCAAAATAGTAATTAATTGTGTGCTTACTTGATTAATGTCTGTCCATCTTAGAATGTAAGCTCAAGGAAGGTAGACCATGTCTATTCGATTCACCCTGTATCCCCAGTCCTAACACAATTCTTGGTTCGTAGTGGGCACTCGGTAAACATTTTTAAAGGACTGAATGTAACTTATCTGCACCTCAACTTCCTCCTCTGTAAAATGGGATAGCAACAGAGGAGGATGTGAGGCTCAAGTGAGATAACATTAACAGCAATAAGGTGGTGGGCTTTTATACAAGCAAAGCACTATTCTATATGATCTTATTTGTGTGTAAAAGTGCTTTTTTTAAATGTTAACATTTTTATTTTATCTTATTTTTAATATGTCTTGATTTCAGAGAGAAGAAAGGAGAGAGAGATTGAGAGAAAGAGAGATATAGAGGTAGAGATAGAGATATAGAAACATCAATGATGAGAGAGTCATTGATCAGCTGCCTCCTGCACAGCCCCTACTGGGGGATCGAGCTCGCAACCTGGGCATGTGCCCTGACCAGGAATTAAACCTAGATCTGGATCATAGGTCCACGCTCAACTGCTGAGCCACACTGGCCGGGCGTAAAAGTGCTTTTTAAGCCAAAAAGTAGCATGCATATAAAAGGAGTTGTTTTTACTCTGTTCAGTAAAACATCCAAAGAAGTGAAAGGTTAATTTGAGAAAACATACTATGGGAGGTGGCGGTAAGTCAGGAGTCAGCAGATGTATCCTGGGAAAGCAAGCCGTGTCCCAGATGGGCATTCCCTCTGCTCTCCTCCCTCAGGGAGTAGGGTGAGTTACCCAGTCCAGAAACCTAATCAAATGTGCCTTTGTTAGCCATTTCAAAGCCTCCACTGAATGTGGACTGTGTGTGCCTTGAATTTGTAATGGATTTAGAGGGCAGGGAGAGGACAGTGAACCTCCTTTTGGGTGGACACCCTTCTTCAGTAAACTTAAAGCCTTTTCAGTTGAGATCTCTGAGGAAATGCAGAGGAAGTGGGTGAGGCCAGTGTTCTTTGCCCTTTCTTTACTCACCATTTCGGTCACCTGTTTCAGCTCTCTAGGTAGTGACTTCTTATGTAATTGTTGTTTTTCACAGGGCAGTCCAGATGAAAAGAGTACTGGTGAATTCACTTTCAGCCCAGTGAAACATGGAGAGGAAAAACCCATCCAGAGAGAGCCCCAGAAGACTCTCGGCCAAACCAGGCAAAGGCACAGAGATGAAAAAAGTGGCTCGTCAGCTCGGTATGGCAGTGGCCGAGTCAGACAAGGACTCTGGATTTTCAGGTTAAAAATGCCTTGTTCTTTCTACATTGTAATGAACAATTTGCCTGAAAAAGGTCCTTCCTAAAATTCATTTGTGTGATGAGGATGGGAAGCTTTCACGTACAGAATAAGTAAATATCTGATCTCTTAAAATGGTCATTCTGGTACCGTCAGAGTCACCATGGGGTTAGTTCTGAAGGAATGACTTGACATCTTTCAACTCAGACTCTCAGTTTTAAATCTACATTTCCAAATGTTGCAAGTGGTTACTGGAAAAAATATTTAAGTACTCATAATTCTGTTGTCTTAGCTCCTTTTTCATAAGAATAGTTACATTGCAGGAAAAAGGACTGCATGTTGTCACCATGTAATAAATTAAACAAAAGTAATATATAATTTGTTAACTTTTTTGCTAAGAAAGATGTTTTGCTTTGTTTAAAAATGTTTCCCCTCTACAACACATCCTGCCAGTACCCATGCATTTTGTGTTTGAACTATGAGCCTCCCAATTCCAAACTTGAGTATCTATTAGAGACAAGAAAGTCCTTACTAGTTTCTCTAAACCTTACCTGAAAGGGCTAGCTGCACACCCAGTGAGCCTTTGAATTTTGTGCTGAAGCTCCTTTTTATTTCCAGGTCTGAGGGTAGTGGCTTGACACTAGACTCTAAGTCTAGTGTCAACATTTTGGCCCAGGGGATGCAGAAGGTGATGCTAGGAGATTCTGGCCGGGTTAGCATCCTGGGATGGAGCCTTCTCTGAAAGGAAGATTTATGTTATCCAGCCTCACAGTGACTAATCATCCTATTGATTTATTAACTTATAGTGAGAAATACAGCTATTAGGAGTGCTAGATCTGCCTCATCCTTGGATTGGTATATTATATTTTCTCCCTGTAGGCAGGCTGCGTGAGAAGCGAAATTATAAATAGACTGTTGCTCAGAGAGGAACAGAGCACCTACTGACCGAGGGATTAGAATAAGGACAGTCCGGGAAGCGAGGGCCAATGTGTAGCCTTTGGGTTTTGCTTCTCTATTGCTTAGTGTTTCTCAAGCTCGCCTCATCATAAGCTCATCTAAGGCATTTGTTAAAAACACTCCTCTCTTGGACATTGTGATGTTGAGGGTCTTGGGGGAGGTCCTGGAATGTGGGTTTTATTTTTCATAAGTGTCTGTTGATTTGTGTAATCAGACAGACTTGGGAAACGTTGCAGGCTTATTGTCTCTGTTTTTTCTTTTAATGTCACGTTTGTTTTCATCTGTGTTTCATATCACGAAGGTAACACATGCTCATTGTAGAAGCTTAGAAATGGAGAAACATGTAAAGAAAAATATAAACGTTATCCATCATCCCACCACCTGTTTTTTTCAATACTGTTGACATTTTGGTACCTCTCTCTCCAACACTTCAGGCCACTTGTTTTCTAGGATGTCCCAAAGTCCGGATGGTGTTTCTGATCGTTTTCTTATTCTCTGTGTACAAGTGCTTTAAGAAGTATTGTGCTATTCAGATGTAAGGCAGTGCTAAAACTAATCAAACTGCTTGTGCTCCAGAAAGTGAACCGCATGAATGCCTGCATCTGGGCCAGGTGCCGGTGATTCCGTCACTGCCTGAGTTGTTATTTCGGTTACCTTACAGAATGATGTAACCCGAAATTTTTATTTACCTACAGTCCATATTCAGAGTTTCCCCATTGTCCCAGTAGTGTCCTTTATAGCTGTGAATCTTTTTGTCTGTCTGTTCTAGATCCAGGGCCCACTGAAGATTGTACTATTTTATTTCGTTGTCCTGTCTTTTTCATCTTAGTTAGGCTAGCACAGCTCCCTTACCTTTCCTTTTCTGTCCTTTCCTGTCTTTTTTTCTTTTTTATGACATTGACATCTTCGAATGACTTAGGCCTGTTGTTTTGTAGAATGTCCCACACTCTGGATTCTTTGGTAACTTCCCATTACTGCTAGCGTGAGGACAAGCGTTTTTACCAGACTACTACATTTTCTGTTACAGCCTTCTCGTTGCACACATAAGAGCACTCTTAAGTTTGTCTTATTCTTGGTGATGCTCTGGTTGGTCACTTGGTTAAGGTAACATATACCAGATTTCTTTACTGTAAAAGTACCCTTTTCTCTTTGTAATTACAAGGAATTTATGAGATGACATTTTGAGATTGTGTGACGACTATTCTGTTCCCCAACAAACTCTTGACCTGTGGTTTTAGCATCCATTAATGATCCCCACCCGAATCAATCACTGCATTTGTGGTTTAAAAATGGTGATCTAACTCTGTTATTCCTTGTACATTTTATTAGCTGACATTCTTCTGTAAAGAAGCTCTTTCTCTCCTCCAACCCCCCCCCCTTTTTTTTAATCCTCACCTGAGGATATTCCCTCCATTGCTTTTCAGAGAGAGTGGAGGGGGGGG